CTTGACCTGCGGCAAGCACTTCAAGGCCTCCTCTGTTTGAGCAAGCAGTGTGGAAATTATTGTACGATATCACTCATATCACATGCAAGCAAAATTCTGAAGATTATCCAGAAATGATTCAACAGTACATTGACAGAGAACTACCACAAATACAAAGTGGGTTTAGAACAAGATGTGTTCTAATGTCAGATGGTTCCAATGTCAGATGGCTCTTGACAGAAAGCAAAGAGTACCAGAGGGATATCTATCTGTGTTTCATTGACTACGCAAAGGCATTTGACTGTATGAATCACAACAAATTGTAGTTAACTTTGAGAATAGGAATCCCAGAACACTTTATTTTGCTTATGTGAAGCCTATACTTGGAAGCAGTCCTCAGAACAGAGCAGGGAAATACTGCACGGTTCAAAATCAGGAAAGGAGTGCATCAGGGATGTGTCCTGACTCCATACCTTTTCAATCCATATGGAGAACAGATCATTCAGGAGGCTGAGTTTTATAGGGAAGAATGTGACATCAGGATTGGAGGAAGATTCATCAACAACCTACTTTATAGGTTAGCAGATAACATACTTGGAGATAAGCATAATGAAACCTCATCTTACATTCTTTGGGAATATTGCCAGGAAGTGCCAATCCTTGAATAAAAACATGTTTAGAAAAGTGAAAGGTCAATAAAAGAGAAGGTGAGTAACTGCAACAAAGGACTTGAACAGGTTTGAGGATGGCATAGGATAGGACAAGGGTACAATCTGTTGTTCATAGGGTTGCTATGAGCTATAGTCAACTAAATGGCACATAACAACAGCAATAGAAAAATATAATCTTAACCTTTTATTTAGAGTCAGAAAGCACAGGGACATGCTATTCTGGTCTTCAAGGACGGAGTTTTTATCATAGCATTAGCACATGCTTCTGTGGGTGTGTGTTGAGGGGATCATTAGTAATAATTTTGGCTTCAAAGCTTGGAAACTGCTATCTATGATAATCAAGATCTTCTTCTTTCCAGTTTCTCACCTTAGTTTCATACATGCGGACCATCTCCATCAAAGGAAAAAGTTCATGACAGCACAAGTGTGTAGTTATTGAAGAGTAGCTGACAGCCATGAAAAAAAAGTAATAATTCCCCAGAATAAAATTCTGTTTTCAACAAATGGTCCTGTCAGCTGCTGGCCACCTAGAGTTCTTGAAGAAAATAATATTTCACCATTGCATTAGAACAGATAAAATAAAGAACTGCCTAAAAGAAATAGATGATTAGGCATTATACATATGACAACAGGTCAGAATAAGAGGTACATCATTGCAAAGACTGCTGTGGGAGGATGTAGGTAGGTTATTGTGCATCAATGATTGAATATTAAAAATAAAGTGAACTGGGGGAGGGGGAGGGGAAGGAGAGGGTAAAATATGCAATAAAGAAATGAAAATCTGACTTCTCTGTAAACATTCTTTAAAATCACAATTAAAATTTTATTTTAAAAACAACATAAGAATATTTCAAAGCTTTAGATTGCCGCTTTGTGTATGCCTGGATCCTGCTGTGGTTGGTGAGGGACAAGCTGGAATATTTGTAATCCTGCAGTATTCGCCTCATTGTGCCTTCACCCTGACCTGGGCAAAGAGGCATTCCTTCCCCCCTCCCTTTTCACAAAGGAAGATATTATTTAAATGAAAAATTAATAAGAGCATTTTTTTATAATTTTTACTGTGTGTTCTAAACAGTAATGGGTAGTAAGGCTGGGATTGGCCACAGTAAGATTATAAGGGTTAAGTTCATTGTGTCAAGTATGAGGTTGCAGTCATCAAACTTGTGAATATAGACTTTAAAAGGATGAAGCTGATGACTAAACCCTATTGTAAACCTTAGTAAAACATAAGACATGCTATCAAAACCCATGCAATTTTATTTCCTAACTTCTGTCATCCTAGCCCTTCATTTCACACACATTGCAATGCATATTCCTTTCTGAACCACAGTATGTTGGATATTTTAGGACTCAGTGGCTGTTGAGGATGTGGCTGTGGACTTTACCCAGGAAGAGTGGGAGTTGCTGGATCTTTCTGAGAGGAAACTCTACAGAGATGTGATGATAGACACCCTCAGGAACCTGGCTTTAGTAGGTACGATCAGCATCAGTTTTCAAATGTCTTTTTAATGATAAAATATGCCATACTCCTTAGTGTTACTCCAGCATGTGGGCCAAAGTATGTAAAAATATTCTTAAATAAGGCAACTGTGGTCAGTTACTCTCAGGAACATGTACCTCCTAGTTTCCTCTTGTGCACCACTCACTTAAATTGTGTCTAAAAGCCTTAAAACTCGTTAAATGTTGCAATTGTGGGCATTTAACTTCAAGTGTTTCTTTGGTGCACAGATAGAATATTCATAATCTGGGACCTTGTAAAGAATTTTAATGTGTTTTAAATATTATTTTGCTAAAATTGAATTCAAATCTTCCCATTTCTAAGCATCTTGAAGATCCTTTCAATGTCAGAAAGTATTAATTACTCTTCCTCCTGCCTTTCCTCATGATATGTCTTTCTCCAAGAAACTCATGTCTGCTACACTCCTTTGTTCTAGAGAAGCAAGAAGAAGTCCTAGGAGAGTGCAGATAGCCTGCACAGAGAACCAGAATATTGGGGGGCACCAGGTGGCAAGAATTCATTGAAGGACCAGGCCTGCAGAAAGGGAATGACATTTTAATAAATTGGTTTTAAAAATGTCTTTTTTTGGGGGGGGTTGGAGTATATGCTTCTTAGATAGCTTACTGCTATGACTTTCATCAGTCCTAATACATCTGTTCATGTGGCAGACTATGCTCTTTTCCCTTTGTTAATACCCCATGCTCTATTGAAACCTACACCTTTCTAATTTCGTCTTCTAATTTCACTCTCTTTGTGTCTTTGTAAATTGTATTGAAACATTTGCAAAACACTTTCTCATAACTACCTTTGTCTTCTGAGTAATTATTTTCTTTATGTTTCTATGGTGAATCTTAACTTAAATCATTATGTGATCAGCTTCTGGAAACCATTATGATGAAGAAGAGCTATGCACTGAAAATCTAATAGTACAATTAATGAAAAATGTCAACTGGTCCTCCACAGTAGGAGAAATCTTTGAGCTTCATCACATTGAAAATCAGGATGACGACCAGAAAACACATATAAGGTGAGTGTCATTCACTCAAGACAAAGTATGCTTCAGGAATCTTAAGAAAGTATGGTGTGATACAAAGAACCCAGGTTGCAAAAATTGTTAAGCATGCAGCTGCTAACCAGAAGACTGCAATTTGAACACACCCAGTGACTCAGCAAGAAAATACTTTGTAATCTATATCTGTTGTAATTATAACCAAGAAACCCTATGGAACAGTTCTCAGTGAGTTGGAATTGATTTTCCAGTCATTTAACAACAAGACTGACACACACACACACAAGCACACATACTCATTATCGTAAATTACGTTATGACTCAGTGACGGGGTGGAATGAAGTAGACCTTTCCCATAGGGTTTCCAAGACTGCTGATTTTCTGGATGCAAACTATCAGTTACTTCTGTTAGAGTCACAGGTGAATTAAATTTATTGGTATTTTTGGATAGCAGCTGGGTTACCACCAGAGCTATTAAATGTATTACTTAACATCCAAGGAACTTTCTGGGACATGGGGTGTTGTGATTTGCATATTGTACAAGCACCATATTACATAGAGATTGTTTCCATGTTACACAGACAGACTTATGCACAACTTTAGCTATGAAGAAATGGTTATAGAGTCTCTAGAATTAAAGATGTTACATGCAATGGTTTATAATAATAAAGAGAATTAATTTGCATGACATTGAAAAACATTATTGGGGAGCTATGGTGGCGTAGTCCATAGCAAATTGTGTCACTAACCCAAAGGGCCTGAGTCTCCAATTCTTATCCATCAGCAACTCCTTGGGAGAAAAATGAACAATCTCCTCCCATTGTGATTTACAGCATCAGAAACCTGATGGAGGGTGACTTGGAGTCAAAATGGCAATGAGATTGCATTTTAAAACTTTATGATTATTGTTACTGTATTATTATGTCAGTTATTTTTAAAATTTTCTACTAGTTTATTTACAAAATTCGAATATATATATATTTGTTTTCAGGAACAAATTCTTTCAATATAAAAATTATTTTATTGTATTTTCATCTGAACTATTATAACTTTATGGAACCATGAATGTATATGTACCCCTACATTGCCTGAAAGGGCATTATGTGTAGCATGACTGTATGTTTATCTCAAATACATTGCTGTTGGGTCTTTTCCAGTTCATGACAGTACTACTGGTTGGATTCTATCTACCAACCATTAGGTTTTAATTGAGCAAAAACATTTTTGAACCTTTCAAGTCATATACATATATATATGTATGTCTATGTATATGTGTGTGTGTGTGTGTGTGTGTATATATGTGCATATATACACATATATGTATAAGATAGCAGGTCCCTAATATTTTATAGTTACAGAAATTTCACAATACAGTAAATTCATAAATTGAGCTCAGTATTGAATATTTTAAATGTTTTATTTATCAATTACCATGAAGACACATGTTTTCAGTACACAATGGAAATGTTACCATGTGTCCCAAATGATTTTAACTGTGAAATATAATACAGACACATATGCATGTTTACTGTGAATGGTAATGTTGCATTGATAACAAATTTCTATTCAACAGCATGCTTCCTGTTTTTAAGAGAATGCATATGGTAGAAACCCAGGGTGAAAGTAATGAAGACAATCAGTGTGGACAAACCTTCAACAACATTCTAAATCTTTCTGTGCTCAAAACAACTCCTGTGGAACTATATCCTTCGGAATGTTTTGAATGTGGAAAATCCTTGCTAGATTATTCCTCTCTTAAGGACCTTATCAGATCTCACTCTGGATTTAGTACTTATCAGTGCAAAGAATGTGGTGAAACCTGCAGTTGTCCTTCTTACCTTAGCACTCCTGGGAGAACTTTTGCTGGAGAGAAAACCTATGAATGTAAAGAATGTGGGAAAATCTTTAGTCAATCGTCAAGCCTCAGTACACATATAAGAACACACAGTGGAGAACGGCCTTATGAATGTAAGGAATGTGGGAAGGCCTTTAGTCAGTCATCAAACCTCACTAAACATATGAGAACTCACAGTGGAGAGAGGCCATATAAATGTAAGGAATGTGGCAAACCTTTTCGTCATTCCTCAAACCTCACTAGACATATGAGAACTCATAGTGGAGAGAAACCTTATGAATGTAAGGAATGTAGAAAAACCTTTAATCGAGTCTCAGATCTCACTGTACATATAAGAACTCACAGTGGCGAGAAACTGAATGTATGTAAGCAATGTGGGAAAGCTTTTAATCAGTCCTCACATACCACTGTACATACAAAAACTCACAGTGGAGGGAGGTCTTATAAATTTAAGCTATGCTGGAAAGAGTCCTCAAACCTCACTATGCACACACCCAATAATAATGGAGAGAGATCGTATGAATGTAAGGAATGTGGAAAAATTTTTGGTCAATCTCCACACCTTACTTCACATATTAGAAGTCACAGTAGAGAGGGAACTTATGAGTGTAGAGAATGTGGGAAAGCTTTTCATCAGTTTTCAAGCCTCAATACACATATAAGAATTCACAGTGGAGAGAGTCCTTATCAGTGTAAGGAATGTGGGAAAGCTTTTCGTCGCTTCTCAAACCTGACTACACATATAAGAATTCACACTGGAGAGAGGCCTTATGAGTGTAAGGAATGTGGGAAAGCCTTTCGTCGGTTCTCAAGCCTCATTACACATCTAAGAATCCACACAGGAGAGAGGCCTTATGTGTGTAAGGAATGTGGAAAAGCCTTTAGTCAGTCTTCAAGCCTCACTGCACATATAAGTATTCACAGTGGAGAGAGGCCTTATGTGTGTAAGGAATGTGGAAAAGCCTTTCGGCAGTCTTCCAACCTCACTAAACACATGAGAACTCACAGTGGAGAGAGGCTGTATGACTGTAACGAATGTGGAAAAGCTTTTCATAAGTCATCAAACCTTACTATACATATGAGGATTCACAGTGGAGAGAGACCTTATGAATGTAAGAGATGTGAGAAAGCTTTTAATCGGTCATCACACCTCACTAGACATATGAGAACTCATAATGTTGAGGTCCTTAAGGAAGGATTATGGAAAAGCCTTTAGTTGAACTCTAGTGCCTAATGAGCATAAACAACATCATAGTGAAAGGAGCTTTATGAATATAAGTAATGTGATAAAGCGTTGAGGTGTTCCTCACCCTTTACTGAATACACAAGATCCTTTCCATGGATATATTAATTTATTTTGAATATATGTGATGTGTTAATGAAAGATATCCAATTCACTTATCAAGCCAGCATATATCCTGAGGGAAATATCCTACCACAAGAACAATAATAAAAACAGATTTACTGCCTTGTACAAAAAGATGACAATGTCTCCATTTTCCATAAAGTATCCATTATAGTTGTTGGTGTATTTTTGAAGCTATGATCCAAACAAGTTTTCCATATTGTCTTTGTGGTTTTAGGTGTATTTCTTCTGTCCTACATAGAATAGTGTCCTGTAAATTGTTAAAAATTCAGCTTTCTGATGCAATGCAACAGTGAAAGTCTAAGACTTGTTAGAGACGGAAGCTCACTGGATGTCTCTGAAGTAGGCTTCTTTTGAGAGGCAAGAGAAAAGTAATAAGCATCCAGCTGAGGTGGGAAATGCATGTAACCTGGAAAGCAAAATAGCCCATCATGGTTCAGCTTTCACTATATTTATTTTATTGTGATTTTTACTCTGTCTTTTGTATATTTTGTAAGATAATGCATGCTTATAACCCAGTCTAGCTTAAACAAATGAACTGCAAGTCAGTGATGTAATTTAGCATAACTTACTAGCCATTTGTTGTTAGGTGCTGTCAAGTTGCTTGCAACTCATAGAGACCCTATGTACAGGAGCCCTAAACCCTGCTGTATCCTGTATCAACCTTACTGTCTCTAGCACACCTACCTCCATTACCCTAGTTAGTGAATCAATCCATCTCATCGATGGTCTTCCTCTCTTGCACTGTCCCTCCACCCTCCAAACATGATGTCTCTCTCCAAGGACTCTCTTTGTAACATGTTCAAAGTATGTCACACGGAGCTTCAGAATCCTTGCCTCCAAGGAGCAGCCTGGTTTCACCCTCTCAAGAATGAACCTGTTTATTCTCCCAGCAGTCCATAGTATATTCAACACTCTTCTTTAGCACCACAGCACAAAGGCATCAAATCTCTTTCTGTCATCCTTAGTCATTGTCCAGCTGACAATTGCAATTGCAAAGACTATTGCCTGGATCAGGCACACCTTAGTCTCCAGACTAATGTTGTTGCTCTTCAGTACTCTGGAGAGGTCCCTCACAGCTAACTTTCCCAATGCAATTCATCTCTTGATTTCCTGGCTGCTGGTACCCAGAGTGTTAATTGTGGAGCCAAGTAAACTAAAACTGTTAACGATCTTAATCTCTTCACCGTCCATAATGATGCTGCCAGTTGGCCTACTGGTGAAAATCTTTGTTTGCTTGATATTGTGCTTCAGCCCATATTGAAAGCTTCAGTGCTTGACCTTCTGCAACAAGCACTTCACTTCCTTCTCAGTTTTAGCAAGCATGATTGTGTCATCTACATAACGTAGGTTGTTGAATCTTCATCCAATCTTAATGCCACATTTCTCCTCATACAGCCCAACGTCCCAGATGATCTGTTCTGTATATAGATTGAAAAGGTATGGAGACAGAATAAATACATCCCTGGAGGACACCCTTCCTCATTTTGAACTATGCAGTGTCTCCTTTCTCTGTTCTGACAACTGCTTCTTGGCTCAAGTATAGGTTTCGCATAAGCATAATCAAATGTTCTGGGATTCCCATTCTTCTCAGAGTCAGCCACAGTTTGTTGTGATCCACACAGTCAAAAGTTATAAGAAACACTGACATTCCTCTGCTTTCAGTCAAGATCCATCTACAATTAGCTATAATATACCTAGTACCGCTGGCATTGGGGTGGGGGTAAGACTGAGAAAAA